CTCCTCTCTCTCCTCTCTCTCTCTCTCTCTCTCTCTCTCTCTCTCGTCTCTTTATTAATTCCCTCTCTCTCTCTCTGCTACAGGTGCCCGGAGGAGTACGTGGGGGAGTACTGTCAGTTCGCCAACCCCTGCCACAGCGCACCGGGCCCGCGCTGCCAGAACGAGGGCGTCTGCAAGGTGTTGCTAAGTGACGACACGGAACCGCGCTTCCACTGCACGTGCCCGCTCGGTTACACGGCGTCGCTGTGCGAGATTTCGATAGACAACGCGTGCGTCGACAACCCGTGTCAGAACTCCGGCACGTGTCGTCTGCTCACGCTGGAATCGTACATCTGCGTCTGCGCGACCGGCTACAGAGGTGAGTGTGTCGCCACCTAGTGGTCGGGATGCGGGAATGCGGGCGGGGAGGTTGGGTTCTTCTGTTTGAGGTGGTAATATCGTATTGTTATTATAATATAGGCGAATATTTCGAAGAAATCACTTACCAGACCTGTGTATCTCTGTTCGACTTGCAGGGGATTCACTTTTCGATAATGTGATTGTAATTTGTATAGATATGAAAACTGGGAGTGTTGTGCGTGCATGGTGGCTTCCTCTAATATACTGTTTACAGTGGTATTAACTATTTAACTGATAAGGATCATTATCAACAATCAAAGAAAACAAACAATCAATATTCGTACACACTTTCTCTCTATCTCTCCCTCTCTCTCTCTCTCTCTCTCTCTCTCTCTCTCTCTCTCTCTCTCTCTCTCTCTCTCGCTCTGTCTCTCTCTCGCTCACGTGATCAAACTCACAGTTGGACCAGAGACGTTACTCAAACTATACCTTTTCTTTCGAATATGAAGCTTTAGAATTTCTATCGTTATACATATGATTACATATTGCAAGACTAGTGGTGGCGTTATTAGTAGCAGTATTAGATTTTAAGCACACTGGCTGTACGTAGTGTAAGCTTATCTGCTATGTAGACATTTTAAGTTATACGACGTTCTAAACTCGTACTATGCAGCATTCCTGTTGTTATAAGGCGGGAGATAGTACCAGATAGTAGATTATTAGTAGTGTTTATTATTTTATTATTAGTATTAGTATTGGATCGCAGACCCTTGCTGCCATATAAGATAATCGTATATAGTCTTATGTTCATACTTCAGACGTTACACATACTTTATACATTAATCGTACTATAAAGTTGCAGCATTCCTATTGTTATAAGGCGGGAGATCGTACAAGATAATAGAGTGGTTATTATTAGTATTATATCGTAGGCCCATGCTGCCATATAAGATAATGGTCTTATTCTCATACTTTACACATTAATCGTACTATAAAACTGCAGCATTTCTATTGTTATAAGGCGTGAGATAAGTACTACCTGATCGTATCTGGTGGGAATAGAAACACACGGGGTTTTGTCTTTATTCGCTGCCGATCGTATAACATAGTGTAAAGTATAATAGTAACTCGGGGTCGTATACGTAGTAAACTATAGGTCCTAACACGCGTTTCTAGAAACTGTTGCTATAGCCATTGTCTGTGCGTCACCGCGGTGGGGGGGGGGGCTGCGACCACGCCGTAAACGTGATACGGGGAGGCCGAGGGGGGCTGGTTTCATCTGTCTGTCACACTCTGTGAGAGAGTTACCGTACCAGTGTGTCTTATCTAGGCGTTAATCTTAGAATAATACGTGCGTTCGCACGCGGGGGTGGGGAACAGAGCTGTTACTGTTCATCGGATATATATATATAAGGGGGGGGGGGTGTAATATAGCGTCCTGGTGTATTAATTACTACACGACTGCAAACGTTCACGTTAAATTCTCGCTTCGGTTTAAACCCCGCTGCTCTAATACCCCGTCTATCGGCGGAAAGTCGTCTGCGGAGACTCCCGTCGACAGCGCCGCCTACCTGTTTAATGATACCTGGAGCGTCGTAATATATGTATGGATATAGTCTGTATTTAGTCTATGGATAGATAACATCAAGACCATCTTCTATGTTATTATGACACTTCTGATAATACTAATGTTATGCAGCAGCGCCCTAGATATATATATGTAAGTGTGTGTTCAGTATGGAGCACACATACGTAGTGTACGTACAGTCAGCCGACCCTCTCTTCATTATCAGTTGTCATCGGTGGTGTGTATGTAATGTGTAATGTGGGAAATCCACGCGATTGTGCATGTATACGTACGTGCCTACGTTCATATTTTTTCATGCGGTTAGTGGGTGTTTCTTCGCGAATCCAGGGCACAGCTATATATATATATATATACTACCGTAGTACCCTAGTAGAAAAGTTCTTGGGTTTCACGATATTCAGAACTTCGTTAGTAGTTGAACAACAATAAACCGACATTCCGTTATACTCTAGCGCTTTCAGCTTTTAATAATTTCCAAAATATGAAAGCGCTAGTGTACAACGCAAAGTCGGTTTATTCTTTTCTTAAATATATATATATATAATTATATTGCTCTGATAAATATTTACGCTACGAAGAACCACCGACTAGTACCAGAGGAAAACGAGTTTCTCTACGCGAAAAATTGAATGAATTCATTGTTGTGCAATTTTGATTTTATTTATGATGATGGCGAATTCCGATGATGGTGATGATGGTGATTGTGTAGTAAAGTTATGCCCACAAATTCCAGCAAGTAAGAGCTGATGATGCATCTTGTAGCAAGATATAGCACATAACCATTCCAGATGGGGAGTTCCAGTGGAGGAAAAACAGCGAGCAATTTATTATTATTCACTTCTGAGACTATAAAAGGTTTATATAGGTTACATTAATTATAGCATGAACATATATTTATTCTCATGAATATACGTGTTTTCGTGATTATAGAGTGTATAGTGTGAGCAGTGACACCACGCAGCCCATAGTCAAGCCTAAAGCATCTTCACATGCGTCTAACAGAAACTAGGCCGCGTACCTGAATTAGAATTACGCGCGAATTTCATGTGCGAAGTTTAGAAAGTTTCGTTTTGTCGAGTTATATTCTCATTCTGTATTTGACCTCGCGGGCATGGAGTTGTACTAGCGTAGAGTGCTTTCCATGTGCGGAGATGCTTGGAAGCGTATGTCTTATATCTACCAGAAGACGACAATGAAGAACTTGAATGTAATCTGTAGGTGTTACACAAGGCATGGTAGATTCTTCATCTTGAATGTAATCTGTAGGTGTTACACAGAGCACTATAGATTCCTCAGTAATCGTTCCCGCTTTCAGTTTAGTGAGCGCTGCTACGTCGGCATGCGGGCGTCACTGTTAGCTTTTCTACGCACGCACGCACGCACGCGCGCACGCACGTACGCACACCTATCGGCACATCGCACGCACACGCACGCGCGCACGGACGCACACACACACGCACGCACGCGCACGCACACGCACACGCACACGCACACGCATACACACACACACACACATACACACACACACACACACACACACACACACACACACACACACACACACAC